TTTGTCTGAAGGGTTATTCGTTGTGTTGCACGCAATAATATGCATAGCCGAACCAGTAAAAATTATTTTTATAATAGTATATACCTTTTGAGGTGAAATCCTCTGTGAAAAACCGCAACGAGATTTTCAGCCTTGGAAAGCCCATTAAAGTGTATCAGTCGCCATCATACGTCTATCGGAGAAAGGTGTACAACATTTTTGAAAGAAGCCGAAAAGCTTAAATCTATAGCGGATCCATCGTATAAGCCAAGCCAACGGGTTTGCAGGTACTTTGGCAACAGCCCAAGCTGATCATGACCATGTTATGATGTTCGTTTTTTCAGATATCTCCACTTAAATACTCTCTGTCTAGAGAACTCTGTAACGATGTATTGCGCCAATGCAAAAAAGCTGTTTCGACGGCTAAATTTCAGGTAAGTCGTCAATCAGAAGAGTCAATGTCAAAACAAGGAAAAGACGAGCCCGAGTGAAGAGAACAAAGGGATTTATGACCAGAACGATCGGACAAAGGCACAGTTCACAATGACTCCAGGGTAACGAGTTCCGGACGAATGATGGTAGTGAAAACCTAGAATGGTTCCAAAGTAGCGTAAAACACCCAAAAATCGGAGTACCTAGAGAATGACCAGGCTTCAAAAAAGTAGTAGAAGTGGTAGTGGATGAGAATGTGACGATATAAGTTGCATGGAAGGGGTCTCATGACGAGCTGCGTGCAACGTATTTGCCCCGTGAAGTAGGTGCAACCTTCGTGAGCCTTACAATTCCATGAGAACTCATCCGCTTCAGGGTGTGTACTCTGGCTCTGAGGCCCTGTCCCTCATACAGAAACCGTTTTTTCATGAACTGTGCCTTCGAATGATTTCCGAATAAACATTCATCCTAGGACTCTATCATTTTGGAATTAAGCTTTTGTTTTTCTTCTGTCATGATCAAGTTCCAGTCATTTTAGGGACTACTTTTTGAATTTCATTTTACCTTCGAACGACACTTTATTCGACGATCTCGACCTGGACGCATGCCAAATGTATGATTTCGTGAAGCAGAACAACAAAATGTCGGATGCTCAGCTTGATAAGGTGTGCCGATAGAGATGATCAATTTCGAACTTATTTAAAGTGTGTACCAGAACTGCGATGATTCGTGATAACTTCAATAATATTCAATGATTGTGAATCGTCTGTCAACAAGCTTGAACGTGCAGCGGAAGTCCGTTGACAACGTCCGCACCGCAGCTTAGGGGATTTCTCGCCGCGTAGAAAATAACATGCTCCAATGTAGAAGCCGACAGTTGCGGCGCAGACGTTGTCAACAGACGTCGGC